GTAATATAAGTATTAATTAAATTATATATAAAATATAAACATTTACTCACTTCTGTTTATCTGTCATGAAATTATGTCATTTAGCATCTTCCATAATTTTCTTAGACATTTTTAATTAGTCTGATATATACTTATAGGATTTCTTAATTTTTGAAAAACTAACGACATTTTTACTTTTGTTTCAAAATAAAATTCTTACATTTTCCCTTGATAAAGTCCATCGTTGGTTAAGGTAAATTTTCCTTCTTTCTTTGTATATATATAAATAATATTAATAGCTGGCCACTCGCATTCGAGGATACTCGTCTATTAGGGCGGCTAGGCAATCCCTATTGCAGATGCCCAATCAGGCACATTTGTGTTTGTTCAACACCAAAAGAGCCCACCCGTGGTTTATACTGAATCTATGCTGAGCAGACGTTAGTTACAGTTTCTGGGAAAAAGTGTGTTATCTAGTGTGATCAACAATCTGAACAAGACCAGCGCTTTCAAATCCTCGGTCACGATGACTGGCACAGCTACCGACAGCTCGGAATTGTTCCGACTATCCAATTTCACTCACATGACTTGGATATATATATATATATATATATATATATGAATAAAAAGAGACAAGAGAAAAATCTATTCTCTGAGGGACTTTATCAAAGCAATGTCAGAGGACCAGAGGACGAAACGCGTCGGTTAGTTTTTCCGTTTGTTTCTTTTTATTAATTTTGTCTCTTCTCCAGATACTCTGTATCTGTGAGTATTTACACACACACACACACACACACACACACACACACACACACACACACACACACACACACACACATATATATATATATATATATTAGGGTTATGACTTTTTTACTTTTTCTAGAATAATTGATTTCCTGCATCATATTAACACATCGATGAACTATTGTTAAAAAATAATGTAATAGTGTTTAATTCAGTTTATTTTAAAAAACAAAATGTCACACCCAACACGAAATATCTAAAATCGTATATAAGTATAGTAGTCCTATGACTTTTCTGGAGCCTTCTAGAAACTTATGGAAATTTTATGTAAGTTTGTATGTTATTCTGCGAATTTTCAGTTTGAAGGTTACCCCTTTTCAAGAACTAAAACAAATTAATGCCTTTCTTTTTCATTACTTTTGAACAAAAGTTCATCGATTTATGACTCAGAAACATAGAGTTACAAAAAAGTGTTAACCCTAATATATATATATATATATATATATATATATATAGATAGATAGATAGATAGATAATATTAGTGGTAAATATACACATACATATGCAAAATATATAAATATATATACACATACACATACATATATGCATACACATACATATATAATTTTTGGATAAAAAAAATTCCAAGAGGATAGAATCCAGGTAGAACTCAATGTCCAGGACAGAGTAAGGATATAATAAAAGGCTTAAAACTAATATTCCATAGTCATAATTTATTCCCATGGAATCGTAAATATGATCAACTCATCAGCCCTACAAAATTTTAGGGCTGATGAGTTGGGTCGTAAATTTACGATTCCAATGGAATAAATTATGACTATGGAATATTAGTGTTTACCTTTTTTTATTATTATATATATATATATATATATATATATATATATATATATATATATATATATTTAGAGAGAGAGAGAGAGAGAGAGAGTGAGAGATAGATAGATAGATAACATAGGCAAAACATTTCAATAAATCAAATAACATAATATTTAACTAAAAGTCATACATAACCCTACTTTATTGAAAGTAAACATGAGAAACGTGTTTATAACAGTCAGTAAATCAGACAATATCTGGGAAACCTTACGCGTGACCCTTTTTCAAAGTAAATTAGGAAAATGCTGGCAAAACAGGAGCTTAGCCGGACTGACACCTGATGTAATCTGTATGTAACAACGTTCCAATTACTCTGACAATAAGAAATTTATTATATAAATTCTGCAATATCAAGTGTGAACATAGTGATTATTTATCCAGAATGTTATAAAAAATAATACAATATAACACAGAAAATAATTTTTTTTGGTGTCTGTGCTTGCCCAGTTCAATAAAACGCATTATTTTGTTTCTGATTGAACGGAAAAGAAGATTACACTTAATATTTATTTAAAAAAAAAAATTCTTACAACTTTTCAATGTGATTTAGAAATTCATCCCATTCCTAAAATGACTTATTTTTTATTAAATAAAGACATGTTTGAAGAATTGAAAAAAAGGAAAGTTTAATGCTGTTTTCGAGTGTGAAATTTAAAAAAAAATTTTTAACTTTTTTTTTTTCATTTTGGTAACTGTTATTTTTTGTATGAATGTTCAAAAATGAAATAATTCTGATTCAACGTCTTTGATTGACTACTCTTCTCCATCGGAAGAATAATAACTCTTAAATTTAGAATAGTTTAAAAAAAGACCATATTAGGAGTAATTAAATATTCTGTGACATCAAACACGTAAGAAAATAATGATAAAAAATAAAAGCAATGAATTAAACTCAAAATTGTCATTTCACTAGATTTTAATTAATTTCATTTTCAGACTTCTAATAAAAATAAAATTTTCCTTCTATTAAGTTTCATAAAAGCATAATGAATAAACAATTATAAAAATTTTAGTTATACAAAGTTAAAAATTATTTTTAGACATAAATACCTTTTTCTTGATTATTGCACGTGCTGGTGTTCCGTATTTCTTTAATTTTATTTTTATTTTTCATGTCCTTTTTAGGCCATATATTACAGTATAAATCTTCTGTTGGTGACCTATGACCTCACAGGCTATTTCATTTTCATTATTTCTCAGCAAAAAGTAAGCATTCCTTTACAAAATCCTGTTAATTTATCCTTAAATTTACTAAATGATTTTGTAATATATCTAGGGCAAATATTGGATTTTAAGAGATTTTTAATGTTCATATTTTTCGTCCATAATGTCGGAACGATGAGTCGATGAGTGACTAGTGAACACGTGGCGTTAGTTAGATCCAATGACAGGACCCAAAGAGTGTGAGTTCGATACCTGGTTAAGGCGGTGGAGAACTTGGAGAAGGGAATTAACAGGAGATAACTGATAACTGACATCCATTAGACATAGCACGTGGAACTAGAAACGCCTACCCCGACGAGCGAAATAAAGGGTTCAGCTCGATATTCCAACCACCCGAAGAAGGCCGAAGCGTACAACGGCCGAAACGTTGTAATAGATATGGCGACAAAGATGAGGACAATAGTTCGAATAATGTGAATAGTGTACATAACACCTCATCTCAGAAATATAGACGGATACTGAACTAGAAAATGTTTTAAAAATGCCTAAAACTTTATTTACACAGGGAAATTTATTTTTCTTTTGATGTGGGTTAGCTTTAGGCTGTTATATTTCACACAGAGCCAAATTTTAACTTTAAAGAAGACATTTAAATTATTTAGAATGCGCTTTTAGTTTGTTTTTTGATTTTTCTGGAGAACCAGATCAGGCCAAGAATGGAGTACTATTGTCATATTTGGGCGGGAGCCACCGAGACCGCACTTTTCTGCCTCGATAGAGTCCAAAAGCGTCTCTGAGTCTTTGTGGGTGACGAATTATTTTCTACCATTCAACATCTCTCTCTCTCTCTCTCTGTCACAGGCTGGGTGTGGCAAGCCTCTCGCTACACTATCGCTACTTTTGCAGAAAGTGTTTCAGACGAAATACATTCGTTGGTTACGTCAGGCATAACCTTCACTGCAAGGATTCGCCATGCCACTTAAATTGTATCAAACCTCTCACATTCCCTTCGTTTTCCATTGGTGAGAAGTAAAATTCTTTCGAACAGCTTTTTACCCGGTCACTACAATCTTAACCTGTTCAAATCTAGGGTTAACCGTTATCTTCCTTTCTTACCTGTACAAACTGCCTCCTAACGTAACCCTGTACCTCGAGTGGTTCCTGGGCCTTGTACAGAGTGAACCTTATTGTAAAAGAAAAAAATGTTCGTAGCGACACCTATCATTTATGCAGAGAATTTTAATTTTTTATTTTATTTTTTGTCAGGACTCAATTTGCATTTTCACTTCGAAACAGCCAATATTGACCAATAGTTATTTCCTATCATAGATATTAAACTTGCACAATTTACAAGTAGGCATTAAAAAAAAAGAAAACTTGTAGCTTAAAGCAACCACAAAAAATAGCAGACCAAAAAGAGGAAAAATGTTGTAACGCTGTAAACAATATCCTTAAAATCCTTTTGTGTGAATGATAAATGTAATAAGGACAATTTCTAAAGAAACAATTTGTCGGTTGAAGGTGTGTGAAAGTTCGATGATCAGTAGAATTCGGCAAGAGTCATCAAAGGGTACGAGAGTTTAGAGTGTATCAGACCAAGGCTGTTCGACAATAGCATTTAGGCGTTCTTCTGACTGATTAGAAAAGTTTGAACGCTGACAAATAATCGATATTTGTCGAATTTCTTTGCTCTTAATCGAGATCACAATTGCTCGATACACCCCCTACTGTCCCCCAGTTCCTGTTCGAACATCACTTTCGATTCCCCACTCGATTTTCCCTTAAAATCTGTCATTCGCTATATCTCTGCCGACTATTCTTCTTTACGCTCACAACTTGCAGTTCTCTGTCGCCATTTTGTTTTATTTCTGTCTGCCGTAACGTTTCTTTATCAACTCTCGACTTTATTAAGACGTGAGTTCAATGTCGTAAATTATTATTATTATTATTAGCAGTAATAGTAGTAGTAGCTTTTGTATTGGTGGTAGTACTAAAGTATAGTGCCACAAAATAAAAAAAATGGGGAGTAAATTATAAAGTTTAAATATTCTTGATTCTATATTTTTTTTCAACTGATCCCCCCTCATAAAATTTGTATTTTTCGATATTTTATCCTGCAGCAAGCATTTCTGGTTTTGATTCTTTTGTCTGTTTTATCCGACCGACTGAATCCGAGATCATAGAATCATTGGTCCTTTCGTGGACATCATGTTGATAAACAGGTTCTCGTACGATCACTGAAGTTAAGCAACGTCGAGCCTTGTCAGTGCCTAGATGGGTGACCACTAGGGAATACCAGGTGTTGTAAACTTGGATGTGCGGGAGTAACTCGGAACTGTTAATCGGAGAGCCAAGTTCCAATTCCAGTTGGGTTCGTTATATTCACTTACGCGAAGATATCTTTAGAAAGTCTATGAATGCATGTATGCATCACAATTCACAGATAATAAAGGGAATCTATGGAAAGCCATGATCGCTTACATCCTTAAGTGACATGCTATAAAATCTATTTTCTTCTATGTTCCATGTCCATTGTTGTTTCACCTAAACCCTGTTCCTACAACCATTTACACAAGCTCGTTAGGCAGTGGTTATGCACTGTTTTTCTTTGCCCTCTTGCTTTCAATGGGGCTTCTGACTGTCAAATTTTCTAAGCCCTCTTTCCTTAATATGTATACTAGAAATTTCAACTTCTGATGTTAAATATAAGTGTTCTTTTGTTTCCTTTTTTTCTAAAACTTTGTCGTTGCTCACATGTTCAGTCCATGGTATTCTCAGCATCCTTCTGTAGAACAGCATTTTTGTTGTCTCAAGTCTCTTTTTCATCTGTGAGAAGATTCCCCAGCATTAACTGCCACATAGCTGGACTGATATCATATAATAGTTCAGTACTCTTCTCTTTGTTTCTAATGAAATTTTCCTGTTTCTTAATATTTGCTTAGCTTTTGCGAAGCAACTTTCATTATCCCAGAATGCATCTTCGGCTTATGATGTCGCACTTTTCGTCCTCTGTTTAAACGCTTCCTAGAAATTTAAACTTTTTTCGCTTGTTGTTCCGTGTTAGGCAGTAAGTACGTTACGTCCTGCCATTGACTCAGATAAGTAATGAACCGTTCCATTTTGCCTGCGTGGAAAAACGAGAGAAAAGGATATATCAGAGATATTTGGTCTTAGTGAGAAAAAGAAAGCATACATAATAATAAGAAGAAAGATATATGGCGATAACCCTCTCGTAAATTTAACATCTGCTTCAGTGAAATGGAAATCTTTTCAATTTCCAATCTTTTCATTTGTACCCTCTTACTTCTTTAAATGATGACCAGCATTCATATTTATGCTTCTTATTGCAATATTTTTTGAAAGTTGTTAAATTCAAATATTTAACAATGTAATAGGTGTATTTCCCCGGTTGATTTTGAACTCTCGCTTAATCAATCATTTACGTAAGAATTACGATTCACCAGAAAATTCAAATGTTTCTTTTTAAATCGTTTCACGCTCAAGCAAGGCGATAAAGCCACTAAGACACAAGCGGAGCTACTAGGAGTAAAAGAGAATGAAATGAAAGAGACCAAACCCTAAACAGGGAAAAAGGGATAAGCCTCTACTCCTGTTCAAAAGTACGTCGAGGAATGTGAACCGGGCGATAAGCGAACCTATCTACTCCTATTAAATAGAAAAATCGTGAAATTTTCACGACTGGCTAAAATGACCCGGCTGAATCTGCAAATTATATTAAATGTCAATTTTCCTATTTTCCTCGGTCAGTTTATAATCTTGTATATCTCACAACGAAATCATTATGACGATGATTTCTTTTGAAAATGTTAATCATATCCTTATAAATAAAATTATCGTTTTCTATTTTTCCTCTTTTGTTAGCGAACAATAAACCATATAACCCAGTACTACCTGCTATATAGACGAGTCATCTTAATCTCAGGTTCCTCACTAAGATTCTTTTCTGGTGATTCTTCTTGTAGGGACAACGACCATTTAGCCCAATAGGATAGACTGGGTTCCATACCTATGGATGCAAACAGTGGAATGATTTCGAGACTGAAGCCAACGACTATAAGCAGTTAGCCAGTTAGTTAGTCAGCGAGCAGAGCGGTGGATTCCCCGATGGAATCAATGAACACGTATCCATGACCAAGGTAGGTCTACAAATGGGACCTGACCTCGCTACGCATGAATGAGTACCTCTCTGGTTTTCAACCCAGGTATGGTCAGGTGCCCAGCTGTACAGTGATTTTACGACCACATTTGGTTATGGGACTGATGATGTAAAATAGAAACATAAGAGAATCAACCGATGAAAAATCAACTTTATTCATGCAGCCAACTTCATTAAGCCCAAACCGTTGCTATATCTGCCATTTTGAAAACGATTTACATTTTTTCTCTTCGTTTCTTTCCATTTCCCGCCTTTTCTCTTCTTTTCCTTTCTACACAACTCTCAGATTTTTATAGTTTTTTCTTCTTTCTAATTTAATTTGTACAAACAAACTTATTACACTTACACACCTACACGACCATATGTATGTGTGTAGGGACGTGTATCCATGGAAGACTTCTGTGGCTGAGCGGTTTTAAAAAATAACGTTTAAATTCACGAGGAATGTCGGAATATAATTGAAATTAAATTAATTACTTAGAAATATATATATACTATGTCAGATTATATTACGCATATCAATGTTTTGTGATGTTAACAAACACTCATTACTACTTTTGTAATATCAACGAATACTCGTTGCCAATTTCGTTGTTGCTCGTTGTAGTAGAGACTTTGTAATCGCAGATACAACTATAGTAACGCCGTTGAACAATGCTGCTGTCAGATGGCTTCGAATATCACTTGCACTAATAGTACTTGTTCGATAATACTCGCTCGAACAGTAATCACCGAATAGTGATCTGAATAGTAATCCGTATAGTGATCACTTAGACGCTTATATACATTTCCTTTACCACCAGGTGATCTACTTATTCAAAATGGGATCGCCCGTGTTTTCTCTCTGGTGATTTGTGTTCAAACTCAAGTGTTGGCAGCGATACTTTTTTCCTGTATAACATTTTCATAATAAAATTCTATTAAATTGGAGTAAACAGGTTCACACTCCTCCCTTGTTTTTGAACAGGGGTAGAGGTTTATCCATTACTAGCAGTAGATCCCGGCGTTGCCCGGGGATGTAACAGTAAGAGATAGATCAAGTATCGACCATCATAAAGACTGAAAATAAAATTGACAAAGATTATTGTTTAAGGTTGACGGACACGCATGTCTTAATTAGTTTTTTTTTTTTTACGAAATTAGTCAAACCCAAACTCAAACAAAAACATTGTTTTCAATCGTTATGAGTCTACCGATTGAATAGAATTTTATTATAAACAATTGTCTTGTAAATGGAATTTTTAAAGCATTCTGAATGTAAAAATAAAGAAAAAGTGTGTTAAGACAATAAGAAACACTACCTGCCAAAAAAAAAAGTGAAGTTTAATTTGAAATCGGTTGAAAAATGTAGGAAATCCGATCCCATATATAAACGAACACACACACACACACACACACACACACACACACACACACAAGGTTTGGGTTTTAAGTATAACTCGATATGATTTATAATTTTAATCGTTTTTCAAATTGATGATTTCTTAATGGCAAGGTAATTTTACGTAGTCCTATGAAGTTTTGTTGAAATTGGGGTGAAATCCGATCCAATATTAAAAAAACACACACACAACACACACACACACATTAGATTTATAATAAGTATGATTTCTTAATGGCATTTCACCTTGTTTGGGGTGTTTGGATATTTTGGATATATTTATATTTATATTAGCAATCAGAATCACTTGGTACCATATATTGCTGAACCGAAGCAGCTGTGTGTGTTTGTGTGTGCGTGCGCGCGCGCGCGTGTACGGTAAAATATCAGACAGAACCTATTTCCAGGCTATATTAAGTGTCTATTTTGTGAATTTCAGTTTATAATAGTAGGAATCATTATTTAAAAAAAAATATTGCTAATGACTTGCTTGGGATATTCTAGGGTATGTTATACAATGGACGGGAAACATTAATTTTAATTATAAATAAATCCAAAAGATACAGGCCAATGAAACATATACAGGGTGTCCCAAATGTTGACATAATTTAAAAGGTGAATATCTGAGAAACTCCAGGCAAACGAAATTAAATAAGCTTCATGTTGAATAATAAAAAAAATTATTTATCAAAATTCAAACAAGATATTCAAATGGATGTAGATTATATAACCGATTTCACAAAGCTTCATAGATGTTCAATATGCTCACCACCTGTCCAGCTCCTGTCGAACACTCTGTAGCATGTCTTGCGTAACATTCTCCTGCGCCGCAATGATTTTATGCTTAAGTTCCTTAAATTTTTTAGGAAGAGGTGGAGATACAGACTTGTCCTTTCACATAGTTCCAATGAAAAAAAATCACAATGTGTCAAAAATCACAAGGTTGCCGTTTCAACAGCACATTGTAATTATTACTGACACGTCCGGTCCATCTTCCTGGGAGAGCCTCATTGTGACAGTACGCTTCCAGTATCCAGTCCACTTCCTGTTGAGAAATGAAGTTTCATGCTCATTAGTAATGAGCTTATCAAATAACCAGTTCTGAAGCATTTTCAGATAAATATTGCTGGTCACGTTTTCCTCACAAAGAGAAACGGTCCATAAATACGATTATTGGAGATTGTGCAGAACACATTCACTTTTGTTGTTTGAATTTTTTGTGCCATGTCCAAAACTGCTTTCCAAGAAAAATGCACTAACGCATTTTTCTTAAATTTTCTTGAAAATGCACGCTGCACACTCTTGTTTCACTGTCCGAGCATATTTTAACAGCCTTTTCATTTCTAGTGAACGTCATTCTTCACACTGAAAAAAATAAACATTCAACTTAGATTTTACATATTTTGTGAAAATTTGAAATAATTTGAGCGAGAATTGGCTATGTTATCAGACTAGAAAATGACGTCAATTTGTTTGGAATCCTTTGTATTTGATTAACATAATATTCTATGTTATCACTGAATAATATATATATATATATATATATATAGACGTGGCACAAGGCCGAATGTATGTGAGATCGAACTCACTTTTCAGTCATAACTGATCTAGCATGACAAGCTTGCTAACCATTACACCACGCCGAGGTGCCTAACTGCTATATATATATAAATAAATATATATATATATATATAATTCAGTATTGAATATATATATATATATATATATATATATATATATATATATATAT